TTGTATATATATATATGAAATTTAGTATGTGCGTAGATTCGGGGGCGAAAAATCGATCTAACTAGGTTTCATTTTTAGAAAATGTTCTTTTATCCCTGTTTTCAGCGAATGAAAAATATCATTCGAATATGACAGTAAATTTCGCCGCAGAATGACAGTAAATTTTATAATAGCTCGGTCGGTAATCACTTATTTTTTTACTTACACTTATTTTTTTTACTTTTTTTTCTATACCAGATCATTTTCTTTATTTTTTTATTTTCAAAATACATGATTTACCGAAAAAAAAACGAGCAAAGCTCGGTCCTCCACGTACTGTTAATTATCAACATAAGTAATTAAAAATAAACATGAAATGTTTGTCGGAAACATATTTCATTAACGTACAAATTTAACTCATTTATATACATGCATATAAGACCGCAATACCGCATGTGGATATACTTTATCTCGTCCCTATGTCATGTATATATATATATATATATATATATATATATATATATATATATATATATATATATATAGTATAATTATTCGTTGCATTATGCCGCAGTAATTTTTATCTAAAGCAATTTTTCCGTATTGGATTGGAGTTAAGTTATGGGAATTCTACAAAGAACAATTTTTATTAACGAAAAGCAAAACCGTCTTCAAATATCTCGCTCTGTATTCATCAGCCGACTTCAAAAGAGAAGGTGGTTCTCAATTCGACTGTATGTATTTTTATGTTTGTTGCCTCATATCTTAAATAAAGAATCATCAAAATCGGTACACCCAGTGGGGGTGTATTCTTTATTTATTCGAAAGCTTGTGCTTCCCATGTGGTCCCATATTCCATAATTTCATTGGTATTGGATCTTGGGCTCCAGAGAAACTGGGGGAACTCCTGAAAATCTATTTTAAATGAATACAGAGCAGAAGTCGGTTTTGTTTTTCGTTATAAAAAGAACTTGTTTTAGGTAATCAGATGTTGTTTAAAAACATTTGATTTATTTTATTTTCTTTGTATATTTTTTGTGCAACAATTGAAAATTTATCTGAAATCCACTTTCAATGAATTTATTCAACGGAGAACTGCGTTGATTATCCTTTCAATGAAAGAATAATCCACTTGTCATACGGAGTTTTACTTCAAAGGTACCATGCGATCCAACCGTCATTCTTAACAATTTATAATATCGTACATACATAATATATACATCTCATATATACAAATGTACTCTTGTCATTTATATTTACTCGTTACCGCATGACGTTTTCATAAGTAACCCAGCTAATGGCAAAACAGAAGTCTCAACAACCGAAATGGGATGGTTCTCGTTCCTAAATTTAAAAACATTTGGTCAAAAAATCTTAATACCTTTAAACGAGCAATTCTTGTATATATATATATATTTTATTTCGCCGAAAAAATGTTATAATAGCTAGGTCGGTAATCGGGCGGCCCCGAAACAAAAGTCCGCGGTTCGTCACGATCATTTGCACACTTATTTTTTTTTACTTTTTTTCTATACCAGATCATTGCTTTCTTTATTTTTTATTTTTTCAATTTTCAAAAAACACGATTTACCAAAAAAAGGTCCTCCAGGTACTATTATTAAAGCTTGATGGTTTCAAATGATAGCAGCTCTTTGTGTTATTATTTAGAAATTTGGAGAAAGACTGTTACTGTTGTTATAATAAACGCAATTCCTTTACTCGTAAAAACAGATAAAACAATTATGAAGCCAATAATTTCAATAAATAAATTAATATATAAACCGTCTCGCTTATTATCGATGTCGAACTATTATTTTCAATGTAAAAATGCTACTAAAATTGTATATAACTTTAATTGTTAATCTTATGATATTTTTATAATTTTTAAAATTTAATTTATGTTCTATTGCTTTTTTCTGTTTAATAGTAGTTGTATAGCTCGTAGTTGTATTAATTATTAAGTCGTCGTGCATATCTGTCTTTATATACATGTTGTAACTACCTTTAGGTGGAATCATGTGAATCTTAGTTCCTAAGACATTTACTTTACACTAAACCAAGCTGGAGCTTTTCATTAAAAAGACGTCTAAGAAAAATTTTTGACAAAATCCCTTATTAGTAGAAAGGTATAAAATCAAATTTTGTTGTGACACTTACTAATTAATGTTTTTATTTCAAGGCCGTTATGTCCGAGTTACCTGATCGATTGCACGTTGCCCTTGGGGGTTTCAAGAACATTACAATTCTCCTCTGATTGAGCCCGCTTCCAAATTACACTCTGTTTTATAAGCCATCTAACTCACACATCACTCGGTTTCTTAAAACGACTGAATGTTACAATGTCAAGATATTCGTTTCCCAAGGTCGATCAGCTGCCAACATGTCTAGGTCAAGGGCAGTTATGTTCTGCGCAAGTGCGAAGGTCAATGTTGCCAAGCGCCTGCATAAAAATAATCGCAAAAATTATCTAATGCATATTTTATTTTTGACAGGAGCTTTATATGTATGTTATCCATATTACCGAATAATGTATACACTCTCGTCCTCGGCTCGTCCGTATTATGCTTCTGCGTTTCTTCTGGTGCCTCAATCACTAATAACCGCTTCACAATATTAAATGGTAGCAACGTGCAACCCTACGGGTGTTGCAAATGTCGAAGGGCGGCGGTTGAATTGTTGCCTATTATTTCAATCAGGTGCTGTTTTCAAGATTTCCTTTAAAATTTAGATTTTCTGATGTACGAATACTTACTTCCACAAATCTGACCCAATAATGAAAATGATATAGGTGCCATATTGAGAAAAAATTGCGTCGACGTGTATGTATATAGGTACATAGCTACAAGCCGACGCAATTTTTTCTAACATGCTCATATCTCCAATACTCATGTTTTATATTACAATCTGATGGACCGATTTCATGTAGTTACGAGAGTTATTTTTTAGGGATTTCATTATGTTTAATTTCAACTCACAGTTAAATACAGCATCGCTGGTCTCGAGACAAAATAAAAACTGTTTATTTTTTAAATAAGTATGTAAGTATTAGGTATCATTTTTTAAATATGACGATAAATGCTACGGTGTTTTTAATTTCAAGTAAAATGATGAACGTGATAACTAGATTTTGCCACTTCAATTAATTATTGTGATAATAATCAACTAACATACTTCACAAAATAGATTATACGAGCAGTGATAAGTCTAGTAAATATCTATTTTGGAACAAAATCGTCGAAAATTGCTTGAAAGTTTCATTTCAATCTTTCACAACTCTTACATCGTCGCATTACAAGCCCTTCAGGGCTTAATTTAATTTTCAGCCAGTACCACCGATTAGATTTTTTTTGACTTCCTTTAAAGAAAAACAATTAAACATATTTTCGCAAAGATGGAGAAAGGTGAATATCGTGCTTTGTTATTTGTTGATATTTTGCGTATAAAACTGTTACAAAAATGAAACAATGATAATAAATATTATGGAAATGAATCCATGATTCAATGATTTTCGGCGTCATCGTACAATCAGAAGTGATGCTGAACGTCCATGACACGCAGTTTTGGTCACTACGGCAGATATGATCGCTGGAATCGTCACAGTGTTGATCGATCTAAGAGTAAATGCCACTCCTTTCCTAAGAGTACCTCAGTCGCTTTTCTTAGATATCTGCATTAATATGATTCTACTTCCTTTTCAATCAAAGGCTTTAAGGTAAGGTCTAGCTCAGATATACAGCGTGTCTTTACAATAGCGACAATAAATCAAGACACATATAGGGGATAACTTTTAAAAATTGTATTAAACATTAACATTCTTTCAACATCAATATTTACAGAGTTATTAAATTTTCTAAAACAAAGAATTTTAGAACATCCTTACGTATAAAACTGTAACGTAAAGTTCATTTGTAAAGGTCATAAAGCATATGAATGGGTTGAATGAATTTAAAAGAGACAAAACATACTGTTAGAAGGAGAGGCTTGTAATGCCACGCTGTGGCGCGAGTTGTATAGGATGTTACAAATTTTGTTTACTTTTTTACTTAATTAGTTTGTTTGAAAAATATTTTTTTTTAATTATGGATTTTGTTTAACGTTAATATTTTTTACGATTATTGGCAAGTAGCATTAGACGTGTGTTCATTTATTGTCGCGATGGTAATGACACGCTGTATATAAGTACTCTTTGGGCTTTCAGATACATAAAAGTACTATTAGGGCTAGCTAATAGCCGATTAATTGAACATTTATTTAAATGGGTTTTATGTTCGTCTACTTGTTACAGGGAAAACATTTTCCAATGTCTTTCAGCATATATGTCTTATCTATGGTCTTCTTATTTATTCATTATTATTGTAAGCTTAGAACGAGCAATGAAGGACGAGAAGTGGCGTAAAAATATTTATTTCATAGAATTACAGTGAGATACCGTGGAAAAGTTAAACTATCACCAGCAGTGAAATAAGTTGATAAAATATTACTATTTTATAAGCACAGGCATGTCCGTGATATTCGATGTTCAATAATATTAAAACAAACGCGTTACAAGCTTAAAATTATGTATTCACTTATCATAGTTTTTTTAAATAAAAATAACCGTCACTCATTTTCAAAAAATAAAACTTTTTAAACAAATGTATAAACTATGGAATGCAATGCATTTGAAATAAAACACTTTATAAACATACCGGGCTATAATATTGTAATTAAAATAACATAATGATAAAAATCAAATAATACACAAAGAAAGTCACGAGGAAAGAAAAAATAAAAACAAACCGAAGGACGTGTTATTACCAAGGGTCCCTAGATCAAAGGGGGTAAATAAAATCCGCATAAATTAGGCCTTCATTGCGACGTTAACATTGAAAACTCGACCGTAACGCGACGGAATAGGGTCGCGTTCTACCCTGCCCACGTCAGTCCTAACAGCCCCTCGAGACGCCGTCATACGAATATAGCGCTTCCGTCCGCGCGGTAGGGGCGAGAATAGCTTAAACTGCTCGCTGCTCCGCACGTCATCTGTCAGATTTTCCCGCGTTTAGGTGGTTGGGCGCGTCCGCGAAGGCGAACTTCAGGCGGTAAGCTTCGGCCACGAGAAGGCTGATGCTCGAGTCGCTCCAGTTCTGAGTCGGCACGTTCTGCAGCAGGATCATCAGGCCCTGGAATTAGGGTTGCCACCGGTACTATAATACACATAATCGTCACTGGAAAGTCAAAATTGCTTAAACGCCAAATAAATGTTGGGCGTTTGACTAATTTTGCCTTTCCAGTGACTATTGTCATCATCATCCTGCCTTTATTCCGCCTAGGTGGGTCGGCACAACGTGTGAATCAAATTGCAAGCGGTTTTGGTGACATTACTCTCGACTGGTCGCCTGCCTGATGTCAACCCTACTTGACGGCCTCCTAAACGGCTGGGACGATTTTAATGCAATTTTTTGTGTCTTCAGGTCCATTCGAGAATGGTTTAGATTCACAATTGTTTTATATTTATTTATATGTTGTCGGATTTAAGTCGCGTGAACAGGACAACGTCTCTTGGGTCGGGTAGTGTATGTATAATATGTATGTGGGAATGGAATGCGAGCGAGGACTGACTGAAAGAATTAAAAAATGAAATGAATGACTCGAGTGTAGGTTGAATGAGGGATTGATAGTAAATGAATGAGAGAAGGGATAAAAAAGCAAGACGGTGATTCGGTTACGACGCGAGTAAAGACGACACGTCCCAAAATCTATCTGTAATATAATATAAATAAATCATACTTTGTGACGGTGATTAAAGTTTATATTATATTGGAAACGAGCCTACTTATTGCTACGAGCACGCTTTCCCAGATGTATTTATTTACGAACGAAGAGTGTGTTTTAGTGCGATGACTAAAATCGCGGGTTCGATCCCCACACGGAACAACTATGTGTGACCCATAGATAGCAGTTTCGCATCTGGGTGTTTGTCCGCGTGTTAATTATAATTCACGCTTGTAAGACGCCCTTACGACGTAGACGAAACACAGGACAATGCTATCCCGGAGTAAGGGCGACGTTTAAAAAAACCAAGCATTGCTTCAAATGCTAAATAACAATGTAGAAAGGAGGCGTTAAGATTTTCGTCGCTGTGGCCATCAGACGTTTAGCTCAGTGGCTAGAGCGTCAGGCCGCGAGTGCCGAAGACGTGGGTTCGATTCCCACGGCGGCGACAATCTTTTCGTACTTTTTATACATGTTTTAAAGTCCACCTGGAAGTCGCGCTCCAGCATGAGCCGCTCGCGCCAGTGCAGCAGGAACGCCGCGCACACGTACAGCTGGAAGGTGGCGAACCCGTCCGACTCCGCGAGGTAGGTGTCCCACAAGCGTATGGTGCACGGCAGGGGGATCTCGCGGGTCAGCAGGTTGTTCATCCAGCGGAAGGAGAACTGGAGGTAGTCCACGCCGTGGCTCTGCAGGTGCTCGTGCAGCGGCCGGTCGATGCGCCGTATCAGCTCCTTGAGCTGGTTCACCTGGAACGAGTTTTGGTTGCAGATTGCAATTTGCCCCTGTGAAACGCCGCCCATTTGCCATAAACTTTATTTTAGTTGTGGTAGGAGCACGTGTTGGCGCTGGCAACACTGTATACCGGTTATGACGTTATCTACTCGAGCCAAGGGACAGACACATGGTCGCATGGGGCAGCGGTCACTTGGATTTCGGCTGCGTTCCCAGACGGTTATATAACCACTAGTGCTGCTGGTCGTTATAATGGTTGTTAATATTCACGTTCAGTAATAGTTAAAATATTAGGATCAAGGTAAAATCGTTAGAACTCTTATACACGCAACAGTGTTCACAGTTTCACGAATGGTCGGGTCCGTTCGGGTAAGTACCATGACCTCACGGAAGACCGGCGCGAAGTGGAACTATACAGCGTGCCGTTACAACCGCGACAATAAATGAACACACATATAGAGGATAACTTTACGATAGACTTGTTCATTTATTGTCGCCGTACACACTGTATATAGAAGAGTATAGGATAAGAAGTGTATAGTAATAGTTACGCTTCTGCGTTTCGTCTGTTGAGTGAGGTAGCCGGGCCCCACTTTATTTAGAGGTGGCAACGCATCAGCAACCCAACGGGTGTCGCAAATCTCCATGGGCGGCGGTTACCACTTAGCAACAGGTGGACCGCCAGCTCGTTTTCCACTTTCTCTCATAAAATAAAAACTACAGCACTATCTCACTGCGGGTACCGCAGAAAATTTTGATGTTTACATTTTAGTAAAGAAAAAAAAATGATTGAAATGATTGATGAATGAAAATGAGACGGAAGGTTTCTCCACAGTGCGAAATCAACCCCGCCCCGCCTACTCACCTTATACTGTATGCCGAGCTGCGCGAATATGTAGTTGTCCTGTATGCTGTCCAGGAATTTCGACAGGCACCAGAAGGAGTCGGCCTCTATCACGTGCCGCCGCTCCTCGGCCAGCTGGTCCAGAGGGAAGTTGTCCAGCTCCCTGCCCGGCGCGGCCTCTTGCAGGAAGACCATGAAGAACGGCGTCACCAGGTCGTTTATGCCCTGGACGTAGCCTGAGGCGGGGTGGCGTATCGCCCATATGTAGAGTATACGCTCGAACATCACCTGTTAGGGATAGCCTTGTTCGATGTTCAAAGAATACGTGGGCAATAACATATGCAGACATACATACATGTATAGACCAGTAGGTCTACACATGTCTATCGTCTTGGTAATACTATCATAAGTATATGATATAAGGCGGCGATGGTTAGAAAGCCACATAGACAAACATATTGCGAATAAATTGTGTACATAAATCACCTAGAACGGAAAACGAGTCATGAGATGTGGCATTGATTCGAATTACCATAAGAAGCCGATTAAAAGACACATTTTGCATGTATTATGTTTACGACATTAATATTTATAAATGTCGAAGAAAAATCAGCATAATTTTAACAACAAAAACAAATCAATGACCTGCAAGGTCAACTTGATTATAGGAACTTTCAACGAAATATTATTTGCAGGAAATCAAGATTAAGGGATTAAAAAATACATATTTAAAAAAATTTTAAGTTTTTGTATGTTATCATATAATTAAGGTTTCTTGCTGCACGATATAAGTTATTCAATATTTAGAAGTAACAATTATGTTTGGTAGAAGTGTTATCGTGAAAACCTTTATATAAATGATTATCGTAAAACTTTTAATACAAGTAAGCTTATTTCTTCACGTTACAGAATAATAAAGACATTGCTTTTGCAATTATTTTTTTAATAAGGAGCCGGTTGTTTGTAATAAATTAATTTTATTCAAAATCAATGTAAGGCCAACCGCACGTAGGGCTTTCACTTAAAGCACGAAGCCGACATTTTTTTCAATCGTTATGTATCAAAGAGGAAATGCTAAAATTGGACGAATTTTATTATCTTTAATACTGTAATAATTCCATAGAACACTCCGACACCCTATTTCATGAATGCTAAAGCTAAATGTTATTTCAATTCCCAGAATAAAAACCCCTCCGATTTGATATCAACGAAAAGACTTAAGTTCGGACGTGCCCGCCACATATCAATGGGTGGTAACCCTATTCGTGTTTGCCAATAAACGCGCTACTGGCCAGAGATAGGACCTGCCGTCTTACTCCCCAAATTCGATTCGAATTTGTTTTTGTATTCGATTTGAACTCACTCTTGATTCGAAGTCGAGTTGAAAAGCTTACTCCTGAACCGAATCGAAACTAGAAATAAGATCGTGCTTTATCAAATCCGTTAACTGTATCCGGCCTATTACGTCACAGACAAATGTTCCATGTTCACCGTTATAACGTCTTTGTTTAGATGAAATGTTAATAGGTTATTTTTTTCCGAAAAATTATTCGAATTTAGTTAATTCCAATTAGAGCCACCACTCGATTGTGCGCTGGCGTGAGATTCAGTGGTACGAACTGTCATGAATTCGAGTCAAACTCGATTGATTCAGAACTCGAATCTGTCGGGAGTAGACCTGCTCTCCTGTGTAACCGCATAGCATTGACACAGAGTACGTGACGCGTAACGAACTTGAAATGCCGCCAATGTCATACAAGGCGGCGCCCTACGACTTGCTTATTCCAAACATGATCCGTACGAGTTCCGTAGACGGCGTTAGGTTTACCTGGAACTCAAGTGAATCTATAATCGATCGACGATATAAAACATGTTTGTTACATACGTGAATATATTCTCAAAGCGCAAACAGAATTTTAATATCATAAACTCAGAGGGCGTAAGTTTGTCGACATTTTCACCTTGGAATATTCTCTAAAGTTCATGTGACCATCAATTTGGTTGGATTTTTTATTACGTTGTGTTGAAATGGTGGGGAAAATGTACTAGAGTACAAAAACAAAAAACGATACACCAATAAAGCACCGCGAGGGAATGTTTTTTTTTTTAAATATAGCAATTTGTATCACCACATTTATCCGCTTACCGGTAACATTTGTATGCAGTATTATTTTGAACATCGCTATAAAGAAATCATGTAGAATACCTAAAAACTGTCCTGCTGTGTGTGTCTATCGGCTCAACGATTCAAGTGGCGAGGACTAACCGAACAATAGGATTTATTGGCAATTGTTTATATTTTCATACTTAATGCTTCCTTATTCATACTTTTGTTTCATCTCACAAGTTTCAATAGAGGCTCTATTGAAACGTGCCCACATTATTTTAAGATGGTGCAACGAGTTTTAAAATTAACGACAGCTCAACTGACCTCAGGTTTGTTATCTTCTCTAATAAATAATATATATTATACTAGCTTTTCGCCTGGCTTAGTTTGCGTCGAAGCCCTTAAATAAATATCTTTTTTAATATATATATGTGTTTTTTTTTAATAAAAAGAATCCCGTGTCCTTTTTAATATCTTTAAGAATATGTGTACAAAGTTTCAAGTTAATCGGTTGAGTATTTTTGGCGTGAAAGCGTAACAAACAAACTTACATTCACTATTATAATATTAGTAGGGATTAAAACGTCCAAGTACCACATTTTTATTAAGAAACAAAGAGGAAACGTAATCTTAAATTCAGTGTTAAACAATAATAGACAGACGGGGAAGCGGGAAGGTAAATGTAAGTTCAATGTTTTACGTTTCGCTAGTAACTAATATAACTTATTCCTCCATGGTCCGTAGGCGACATGCGCGGCCCTACCCACTGAGGAGGGCCTCAAACCCGCGGACCCTGGCTAGCCCAACGCTTCTGCGTTCGATGAAGCCTTAATAGTCTAAGGACTGAAAGCGTTTGAAAAAGTTTGTTTGCAACCGAGCACTGAATCTTCACCGAACATTCCATACATAGACATAGACAGAATATAGAGCAAGTGCAACAGCCACTAACCTGCACCGTGGTCTGCTGGAAGAGCGCCACGAGGGGGCTCATGCGAGGTATGTCGATGTGGATCTGTCTGTACGTGTCCTCCTCCCGTTCAGCGTCGTAGTACTGCCTCACCAGATGGCGGTAGTCGGCCCGCTTCCGCTCAAGCGTCTCGGCGCGTCGCTCAGCGTTCGCTGGCAGGTAGCCGGCGAGGAGGCGCCACGTAACCGCTCTCGCCTTGAACAGCCCAATGTCACAGTTTATATTTCAGGACATGATATTTTACACAACGTGATCCAGTCCCAGACAGCTTGCACTTTGGATACTAGGCAACTGATAAACATACCTGAATGTAGTTTTATTTTGTAAATAAATATGTACATATCATAGACACTACCCAGTGTATGAGTGGTGGGGCCACGCAGCAGCCTCGGTTGTTGCACGAATGGGCAGGCTTGTCCGGTTAAGTACCACGACCTCAGAAGCCCGGCGTCAAGTGGATAATAATACTTTCGCGTTTCGTCTGGTGAGCGAGGCAGCCGGTGCCAATTTTCAAAAAGTTTATCGACGCATCTGCAAATCCACGGCAGTTGCAGATGTCCGTGGCCGCGGTATTCACTTAACACCAGGTGAACCTGCTCGCTTCACAACTTTTCACATAAAAAAAACAGTTATCACACAATATTTTTCCAGTTGTGGGGATCGAACTCTCAGCTTCTGGTGCAAAAGACCACTATCCAACCGTGTTGTTTAAGTTAAAACAACCATCACCTAGTACGACACCAGAAAGGCCATAGTGCCACCTCGGTGCCGTAATACGGAAGAATCTTGGCCATTGACATGAGGTCAATCTCACAGCCATATTTAATGAAATATTAACAGGACTATACCCAAAAAAAAAAAAGACCACCGCGGTTCTAAAAAAATGATTTAAGAAACAAATTTTGGTGCTGAAAATCCACCATTTTGTATTTTTATAGTTATAATAAACACTCGCGAAATACAGACGCATCCATTATATATTCATCAAAATTGGTTAAATCGTTTATTAGTTACGAGTCAACATATGGACATACAGGTCAAACACGTAACCCTCCTTTTTTGGCTACGCTGCTGTCTTATAAATGGGTTTTTTAAAACTAATTGTAAAAATAACTTTCAAAATCCTCATAGAAGATGGTAGTGAGTTAGGTTACTGGGAATGCAATCCTTTCACAAAAATCACAAAGGGCGATTCTAAAAATAAAACCGCTGAGCATTGATACTCATTTTACCATATAAAATTCATCTATCCACTCCCTCTGCTAGAAACAAATGCACCACAAACTGTTAGCAAAATGTGAGTGAATATTAAATGAGACACATTGGCAGGCTTGACGAACCTGTCTTACTAATGGGTGCGCGAAGACAATGTGTATTCCACTATGCATACATTTATAAATATATACATTTTCCACTCAAGCCGAAACTGGCACACATTTTGGTGATATTCAAATGTCTATAAAATTATATACATAATTATGTGTTACAACAAATCCCGCATAATCGCGATTGTTTGTGAAGCTAAAGCCATCGCTTCTAACAACTCATATGAGGAAATTTGTTCTTTTCTTGACGTCAAAGGTTGGAGAGCAAGCGGTTCACCTGTTGTTAAGTGAGTACTGCAACTGATAGGCATTAACAATACCTGGGGTATTGCAGGTGTATTGTTAACCCATAGAAACTGTGGGCCCGAGTAACATCACTCACTAGAAAAAAGCAAAAATATAGTAACTTCACCAGTGTCACTTTTTTATTTAAAGTAGGGATTTCCTTCCACTTCACAATTTGATAAATGTGAGGCCGTGTTACTTTCAACAAGCCTGTACATTTGTCTGAGGTAGGGCCACGCAAAAGTGTTCACTGTTGCACGAATAGGCAGGTCCATCCAGGTAAGTATTACGACCTCACAGAAGACTGGCGTAAAGTAGAAGTGTTACACTTCTGCGTTCCATCTGGTGAGTGAGGTAGCCGGGGCTCACTTTATTTACAGGTGGCAACACATTTGAAACCCTACGGGTGTTGCAAATGTCCATTGACGGCGGTTATCACTTAACATCAGGTGAACCGCCAGCTCGTTTGCCACTTCTTCACATAAAATTAAAAAAAATTGTATCTTATCCAGATTAATATTATCGTCAAATTATGGGTTATAATATATTCTTAATATTAAGAAATACATACATAGACACATTTCATATACATTAAAAGTGAATAGAATAGCTGCACATAAAACACTTATTAACATACCTATACAATACCACATTCAAATGAAAATGTATAAATGGCTTTTATGTATCATCATTATGGAAATGTTCATTATATAAATGTGGAACATTTCATAAAGCTGTGTGGATGATTTCTGTGTATAACATGATAAAAACATGTTTACTATACTTCAAGACCTAATAATTCACTTGAATTTCAATTTAAAGTTCAAAAATATATAAATAGAATAATTCAGCAAAAGCACTTTACATGACATTTTGGTCAGTTTTTGACTAACCACCAAATTGTTATGTAGTAGTCCTTTAAATAACTATCACAGTAAAAGTCTAATAAGAAGGCATCACAAATCATTATTCAATTCATAATATTAATGTTGCTTACATTAATATTACTAGTAAGATTGTGGCTAGATAAATTATTATGGTATGTAAGAAAAAAGTTGATTACAATATGACCTTCAGCATCTACTAGTGTTGAAAATAGTTACATTATATGACTACTATTTGATAATAAACCCACAACAAAGTAAACATATTATCCATCAGAAAACTCAATAACAATTAAGAATATAGAATGCTGGATAACAATACAAGTACACAGTATGTACAAGCTATGCAACTTTTAAAATACAGATTTTGTACTAATTGTTCCTTTTCATAATTATGTAGGTACATAATAGAAAATTGCAGCCTGTAGCTATTAGCTAACATAAGCATAGATATGAAAATATACTTGTGTTAGCTATTTAATTACACATTTTTATTTATTTGTATTACACCTTTTCTTTATCAGTTTGATCCAGTTTACTTTTCTACATAGTTCCTTTCTACAGATTTTTATCATTAAAATAAATTTTAATTGAAACATTACTAATGTATAACAGTTAATAAAAATTTTGACTCACTTTTGTTGGAATACCAGACCAGCTAAGCTGTTTAAGTTCATCTAAGTCCAACACTGGATTCTCGAGCAATTGCTGGAACCTCTCCAATTTTGATTCGCTACTTTCTTCACGCGACGCCAATGCTGACAGTCTAACGGGTCGTGGCCTGCCAGGATAATGCCTCATAGGCCCAGTGCTACCACCAACCCCACTTCCAGTCCTTTTCACTTCATTTCTACGCACAGCCAACGCCTCGTCTTTAGGCTTTACGGTTTCAGTCTCATCTTTGACGTCACTTTTGTTTACGTTCTTAGTACTATTCCTATGCGAATTTATAACGTTTAAAGCTGCAGTTTCCGATATGGCCTTTGATATCTTCGCCTCCGCGATTCCTGATATAATGTCGTCGTCACCAAGATCCCAAGCATCGTTCACCGATGCCTGGAATTGCTGATACGATGACCCCGACATAACCTCACTCTTTTCAACCGTCTGAAGGGGTCTTCCCGGGATTGCACGTTGTGGTGTCCTCCAAAACGTATCAGACAAAAGGTTGTCCTTGTCATATTCGGCTTGGTAACTGTCCATAATATAGTATTATCTGGAACATTATAATAACTTCACTGACCAACAAAATAATAAGAGAATGTTTGATATGACATATCACACGTATCATAGACAAATTTATGTTTTATTTTTACAGCTGTATTTTCAACTTATGGCTCGAAAAGCTAAGTTAAAAATTCAAGTCATATACATAATTTGTATACATGCCCTATAATTTTATGATTCAATAAGATTGACGAACGTATCAATAACATATAAAAATATTGAGATAAATGTCATAACATTGACATCTCGCTCAGGCCTTTTTTAATTTTTGTTATCATTATATTTTTGAGTTTTTATTAAATACATTTATTTTACTATTCCTATATATATTTCAAGATGCAATGCCTACGCTCCAAAGTATCAAGTCTATTTCAAATTTCATCAGTGTCAATATGTTTCTAGGAAATATATTAAATCGATAAACATTTATTTCATTTGGTGTTGTTAATGTGTCTCCATTGATTATGGCTAGTCCGAATCCAGAAAATGATTTATCCTCGATGTTTATGCTAAAAGCTACTAACAAGGATTCAAAAAGCCCTGTTCGTTCAGAACCATCATCACGAAGAAATTCTACTATAAAGGCAAATTTACCAGCTGAAGTTATAACGGTTAAAGACTTTTTTGATTTTATGAAAACAGCATATCAAGTCTACGAACATTTAGAAAATGATGAAGAAGAAGGACCCAAAATAGATTGGGAGGAACTTACGAAACTAACGGTTTTAAATCACGTCATTGAACCGCAAGAAAGAGATCTTCTTCGTCATACAACTTTTTCAGAACAGAAACCCATAATAAGTAAAAGCGATACAACAATAGAAAAGAAATCCAGTGAATTAATTCGGGTAGAAAAACGTCTAAGTTACAGTGAAGTTGAAAGTAAGAATATACCTACGTTTATATTGTATTGTTTATTAAGAATGTATATACCGCATGACTGATAATTTTGCAGGCAAAAGCCATCGCCGTTCATTACCAGGCAATATTAAGGTAGAAATGCTTGGAGCTTGGACTGAAGCCAACCTGAATTGTAAATTAAATGATGTAGGTACATATTATTTTTTATAGTACCTATAAAAATATTTACCATACGGTACACTAGATGGCGTAAATTGATAAATGGCACTACTATATGTATAACAAATTATATTTATTTTAGGTTATTAACGAAGGAATTTTGGATTCTATTTTACCGTATCTTGTTGGATATAAAAAACCGACAAAAACAACAAGCGTTTATACTCCTATTATTAAAAAATCTTCTTCAAATAATACAAATGAAGTAAAGAAACCGGCTAGTTTTGGAGGTACTCCAATGTTTATAATTTATAATTATGTATATAGAGTACCTTATTTCAAAACAAACAATAATCACATTTTATATCTTAGGTTTCATCAATGAAAAAGAATCAAAAGATAGATTGGGAAGACGCAAATCTTCTTTAATAGCTGCTCAAGAAAAATCAAACCAAAAACAAGAGTAAGTGAATTTATAATAACTTCCTTCCTTATATATTTTTATTTCCTTACATATTTTTCTTCTTATTATTAATTTTAAAGGTAAATGATGCAGATTTTAATTATTTTACGAAAGAAATTTTTTTAAACAGGCATAAAATAATTAGCATCCGTTACACTAGATGGCGTAAATTAATAAATGAAACACTGGACGACAAATTTTAGATTCTGTTTTACCCCTTCTCTCTTATCCTCTTTAAAAGTACAGTTTCAGATTTATACCATAAATATAGGTGAGGTGACTTTTACAAAAGTTTTTATCAATGCATAATAGTTGAATGAAAACCTGTTTGAAATGTTATTAGATCTAATTGTGCAGTTTTAGATTATTATTGAATTTATTATTTATTTAAAGTTTTTTATTCATATTTATTTTCGTACATATCACTTCAAACAAAATAATACTATTGATATTTTGAACTTGGTTTACAACATCCGATATGGTCTAGTGGCTAGGATACCTGGCTCTCACCCAGGAGGCTCGGGTTCGATTCCCGGTATCGGAATTGACTTTTTGCGCTTTTTTTCAGCGGCGAAGTGGAAATTCACGTGTGCGATGAAGTGAAAGGCTTGAAAAAGGACTTCAAATGTCCTCAGAAATTGCTTGTTTCGAAAATAGGTTACTTCGCTGACGTAACAGCCGGGCAAAGGCTCGAAGACATGGACATTTCTGTGCATTGCGATATACAAGTGAGTACCTAATAACAAGTTATAACATATTATTTTGTATGTTACAAAATGGTGAATAGTTCTTTTGTATTTTTTTATTGCAAAATATGAGAGAGCTTAATATTGTACCTCTATCGATTTTTTATATATTTTCGTGATGAAATACTATGCGCAAATACGCGATGAAATGAAACTATTTTATGGAATTTTGACTTTAAATTACCGACGTTACTATAACAAAACAAAAAGGTTTTCATTTAACCAAGTTTAAATTGAGTTTTTACTGAAATGTTTTTTATTAAATTTTCCTTACCAAACAAAACACTGGACAAAATAAGATAACTACAAATCATTATTAATGTACAAAAATGTCAGTACATAAAATACTAAAAAAATATGTAACATTTTAAATAATTGTACAAATGCTATTTTAATCGCACCTCAACGTAGATGCAGATCAGAATGTCATTCTTCATTTAATTTAATTTATATGTATATTAATATGTGTATATTAATACGTGAATCAAAAACTTTGTACCCCTTTTTACAACAATTGCACGAACGGAGGAGTATGAAATTTCCCACACTTATAGCTTATATAGAGAAAGAGTACAGAATGCTAATATATTTTTTTTAATTACCCTTAAAATACATTAAATCAATTAAAAAAAAAGACACACTCCCGTGTATAATTGATTTTGATCGAATTTCGATCATTGGGCGACCACTAGTAAATACATATAGGTACATACATAACACGCCGAAACCACATGTCGTTTACCTCGTGAGCCAGATCTAGTCTCATTTTCTGTTTCTGCCTTTCAAGAGGTTCGTCATATGGAATGGCAATGTCCACGAAAAGAATCGGGGGTACAGTCCAGATAAATGTTTTAATGAGAGCGTGGCAAGCGAGCTGTTGATTCACCTGATGTTAAGTGATAACTGCCGCCCATTTGCAACACCCGGTTGCAGATGCGTTGCCACCTTATAATAAAGTGCGCTCCGGCTACCGGACTCACCGGACGAGAGACAGAAGTGTAACACTGGTATGAGGTAGTGGTACCCACGGACGCACCTACCCATTCGTGCAATTTTAAAGACTGTTGCGTGAATAAGTTTTTATAATAATTATGACTATTACCGTTGTAGATCTTCGACTGGCTGATGAGGTGGGTGAAACGCGACACCATACTGGTCGCCGATTGGCCCATATTGGATCCGCACAACGTGGTGCCCATCCTAGTTTCGGCTTCATTCCTTCAGGTACGAAATATGAAAAATTTCGAACCTTATCCGATATAATTCGGCTGTTCTAATCACGGAGTATCCCACACATCGATAGCTGGCCGACGATAAACCGTTTTGTTACGTTACATGATATACGCACTAGATCTTCCTAGACTCCTTCGAGAGTCCTTCGAGACTTTATGTACTGTAATGATATATAAAATGTACGACATCTCATTACAGTAAATAGTTTGAAACGATAAGTTTAGATATGCTATAATTTTCCCTACTTGGAAACGATAAATCTAAATATTTTTTATAAAGTCTATTCACATTGAATGCATATTTATGCATACATTTATTTTCCCTTTTTTATTTGAAGAGTTGTCAAAGCATTCACCTGATGTTAAGTGAATACCGCCGCCTATGGACATCTACAACAACAACCGAGGGCACTTTATCGACAACCTTTAAAATTACATAAACTGGAACTAAAAAAAAAAAAAAAATTGTACGTTATCTACCTTATCTTTTTTTCTAATGACACAACTCCGTTTTGTAGATGGAGCCACTGTTGCACGACTGTTTGATATACTGCCACGCGCACATGAACGAAATCGTTAAGACCTCCACGAATCTCGCTTGTCTGAGCGACACGCTTCTGACGAGGTATGAACTTATGGCCTTTTAGAGATGTGGGGGACATCTGAATATTTTTCCAGCATACCTTTGTCCAGCACATATAGGCTGTTACATTACTTTTTACTTTAGGCTGATTTGTAGCGGCAACTCTGTCCTAAGAAATAATCAGAAATTTGCTGAGTATACGTAATGTGCCAAACATAAATGTTGGTAATTTCAAGTCAAGACAATCTTTATGATGGGTAGTTTTTCATGTATTTTTTCTCATCATATTATCCGTTAGCGAATCCAAAAGAAATATATACCTTAATAAATGTGAGGTAGTAAAATTTATTTGGGTGTCAGTTATAGATCTTACGCACGCCGTTTCGAATCCCGATGGCGCTCAATAAACGTTTTCTCGTTTATCACAGAAAGACGTGTAGAAACCATTTATAGACATTAGTTGTGTGTATTAGGGTCTTGTCACTGTTGGGGCTAAAATAGGCTGGCGTCAACATGGGTCAAACATCTCCATAAACTGCACGGGGCTGAAAGATGCGAGGAGTTAATAAAAGCACGTCCAAAGTTCCCCGGGGATCCCCTTATTGTGGGCTGACAGCAATTTTTCACAGAAATACACGTAGAAACCATTTGTAGACATTGTTTGTGTGTGAGAGGATCTTGTCACTGTTGGCCTTAAATAAGCTGGTCTCCGCATGGGTCAAATATCTCTAGCAACGGGGAGTTAATAAAAGCGCGTTCGATATACCCCGGGGAATCCCCCGATCGTAGGCTGGCGGCGATGTACACCAATGCAGAGTTAGAGGCGGTACGGGACCGCCGCGACAAGATCCAGTCGCGTCTCTACTGCAAGCTGCTCCTGTCGCTCGCCGAGCCCGTACCGGAGACTCTGCGCGGCCACTACGCCACCCTGGCCACCCTCTTCAAGTGCACGAAGTAAGTTTTTTTTTTAATGTGAAAAGTTTCCATGTGAGCAAACGGTTTACCTGATGCTAAGTGATTTTTTTTTTTATGTGAAAAGTTGCCAAACGGGCAGACGGTTCACCTGATGTTAGGTGAATACCGCCGCCCATGGATATCTGCCACACCCGAGGGTTACAAATGCGTTGACGACCTTTTGAAAATTGGGCTCCGGCCACCTCACTCACCAGACGAAACGCGAAAGTATTATATTATTAGGTCTTTTGTGAGGTCGCGGTACTTACCCGGACGAGCCTGCCGTTTATAGGCGCAACTTGTTAGGGCCACGCAGCAGCCTCGGCTGTTGCAAGAATGGGCAGCTCCGTCCGGATAAGTGCCACTGCCTCACAGAAGACCGGCGTGAAGTGGGAGCATTACACTTCCGCGTTTCGTCCGATCAGCGAGGTAGCCCACGAGGGGCCCACTTTTATTAAAAGGTGGCGACGCATCTGCAACTCCACGGGTGTTGCAAATGTCCATGGGCGGTTATCTGATATGGTTATCATTTAACATTACGTGAACCACCGGCTCGCTCGCAAACTTCTCATATATGACAGGGAAATTACCCAGCGTTGAGGTGGGCAGTAATAATTTGGTTACATAAATTTAACAAAAAAAAAACCGACTTCAAACCGGAAACTAAAAAAACATTATTAATACCAATAACATTTGAGGATTACCCTCGATTTCTCTGGGATGCCATCATCAGATCTGGGTTTCCTTATCATGTTACCTTCCACCCTTGGGATATCTCCTTTCCAACAAAAAAAGAATCATCAAAATCGTTTCATAAACGACGACGTTATCCGCGAACACACATAAAAAAAATAAAAATATATATGGTCGAATTGAGAAACCTCCTCCTTTTTGAAGTCGGTTAAAAAGAAAACTATGCTATATTATAATATGATGCACCAAAACTCCATTTTCTACTCAGCGTATGTCTAGTAGAATGGTGCGGTGAAGACTAAATTTTGTTATTGCTTTACTACTATATATAACATGGTTTTCGATAAACTGCCGGCAAGTTTATGAGTTTATGATTTCTAAGGGCCGTTTTCAATATTCTATCTATGTCTGTAGATTTGTTTACTCAGGATAGAACATAAGTATTGTGGAGCAAATGTCAAATAACTAGAAAAATACAAATATATCAAACTAAATTATACAGCTATAATATAATATATAGCTAATAACAGCTAATAATATGAGGACTTTTGATAACGAATAAGTCGTAACTCGAATAATAAGATGAACGAATTGTGATCACGCTGCTAGCTATTGTGATCTTACTTAATTGCTGAAATAGATGGCGTCCTTATATATTCCAAAAAAACAATCATTTTTAAACCATCTATGTAATGTGTAATATTAATTTAATGGACCCGGTATGCTATATGAAGGTAAATAATTATTAAAATTTGTTATTAATTACTTTAATTACGTATGCGACACCATGCTAGCAAATTCCACTGTTGTTGAATAATTGCCTTATTGTTACAATAGATGGCAGTTATATCAAAAGTTCATAAACACGATATTAAAGTTTTCACAGAGCGTTGGTATATATACAAACGCTTTCATTGTACTAGTGTACTTGCTTCGGCAGTACATATACTAAAATTGGAACGATACAGAGAAGATTAGCATGGCCCCTGCGCAAGGATGACACGCAAAATCGTGAAGCGTTCCACATTTTTTTATTATTTTCGCTTTTGTCCTAAAACTTTCAGGATTTATTACACTTAGTTAAGGGAACAGTACACGGTAACGTTGACAGAGAAAAATAACTGAGAAACATAGAAAATTATTTATATCCAAAATTTACAATGTTTCTTATGAGTTTTTTTGGATCAATTTAATGTTTCCAGCAATGGCTTTTTATAAATAACATTAATAATAATAAATGCATTTAATTCGAATGTAAACGTTATGTACATTAAGAAAGTATGCCTAAAATTAAATAATTTATGGACGGTATAATAATTATTTGCTATCAAGCAAATACTTATAATATTTATCGAGTACCGAGTGTATTTCTCTCGTAGATAGTAATAGATGTGTATCCATTTTTTTAAATTAAATTCTAGACATAAATAATATTATATAAAAATAAATATTTAAAATCATTCGTAATTAATTAATTACATTCATTTGAACTTATCTCAAAATGTGCGTGATTAATAGGCAACTCATTTATTTTACACGCGATCATTCATAACCATCACGCACACAAGTTCGTTTCAAAAGTATTTTATATAAAAGACGCATTTATGAATGACTACCGCATTTTCAAAAGTTCTGTTTTTTAGGGAATCGAATGGCAATTTTTTTGAAAAAAAAAAGTTTGTTTTTACTTCAATAGACGATAATACTACAGAGTGTGAATTTGGGCACCTTTAGAAAAGCCACTGTATATCCGCACCACATGTGTATACAGTTCTCTCATTTGTATACACAAGAATGAAGTGCAGCGTGAATGGAATGTGTTGAGTGTTTCTATCGTAGTGTATCCACATGTATGTACAGTTAGCTCATTTGTAGGTACAAATAATAATGAAGTACTGTATGAATGGAATATTACATTTAGTGATTCTGTCGTATTAACTACACATGTGTGTACAATTTGCTCGTTTGTACACACAAGAATGAAGCACCGTGTGAATCAATACATTCCGTATTGAGTGTTTTTGTTACATACCAACGAGTAGAATGCAGTTAGGTGTCATGTTGAAGTTTTGGCTGAGCGCTAGAAGCTAGGCGAGCTATCGAGGTTCGATCGCGCAGCTTTGAATCGCCGACCGTTGCAGATGCAACAAGCTGCTAGGCCGCCACGTCGCAGAACTGGTGCCCTGCCAGCCGTCCAGCATGCGGATCGATCGCCGTGGCAACGTGATATCTTCACACACCAAGTACGCATGCTCCTAACGTCAACAGAGATGGAGTACTTCACCGCTTCACTTACTACTTCACTGTGGTGGGACCACGCAACAGTGTTCACTGCTGCACTAATTATAGGTGGTAATGCATTTGCAACCCTACGGGTATTGCAAATGTCCATGGGCCGCGGTAATCACTTAACATCGGGTGAACCGCAAGCTCGTTTGCCACTTTCTCACATAAAAAAAAAGAACACGAACCAATCTGTCATAGCTGTGGTAGCGACACGCAACATCTTAGGCTGTTGCACGAATGGGCAGGTCGACAGGTCCGTCCGGGTTAGAAGGGTTATAATTCTGCGTTTCGTCTGGTGAATGAAGTAGCCGGCGCCAACTTTGTTCAGTGATTTTTTTTTGTGAAACATGACATTAATTGAAATTGATAACGCTTTAGTTAAATAACTTGAAACTATAGATAAATTATAATCAGTCTTTGTGGTAGTGCAATAATGTCGTCGCCACCAATAGTGCTCCCTTTTAGGTGTCGCGTTTCTTATAAATTCGCTCAAATTATTACCGCAAAAGAAGTATCACTTCAAAATGTACATAGGACATAAAATATACAAACTAACACCAATTTAAATAGTAACAACAAAACGACGAGTAAACAACTCTGAAGTACATCACACACACAAAAACCATAGAGGTCCTGTAGTGTTTGTGTGTGGGCTAACGGGTATCCATGCATCTGAAATTCCCTAACCAGGGACCCTTCATGGAGCCTGAACGATTATATAACGTGGCTCTATGGGGAGCTTCGCTCTTGGCGCCGCGTCTACTGGCGTCTGTGGGCGGACGCTCACTTCCTGCGTTGCCAGCTTTGCGGCGTGCATTTCCCCGTATATCAGGTACTCTGCGGTCGAAATGTCATGTAATATCGTGTAATGTATTTGTTTGTTTCCTTTGGCGTTACGGAATTCACCGAAAGGTTGTGTAATAATGTCTTTGTTTCTTTCCTTTGGTGCTATGGCATTTGAACGAAAAATAGTATAACAAATACCGATACAAGTAATCAGTTGTTATTGCCTAAGTTAACTACAAAAATTGGCCTCCTAGGTTTACTTTGTATTAACCTGTTACTTTATGTTAACAGCTATACACACTGCTTGTCTTATCATATTTATGAGATAACGTGTTGCTATTTTGTAACGGGTATTTGTAACTGTTATGATCAAGTTATAGAAACAGACATAACAGATACTTGATTTTACGTAGTATAACTCACTCCCTAGTGTGTGTGTGTCACACAAGAAACTTCACTGATGCACTAATGGGCAGGTACATCCGGGGAAGTACCGCAATCTCACAGGTGGACCGGCCTGAAGTGGAATCATTATACTTCTGCGTTTCGTTTACTGAGTGAGGAGCCGGGGCCCATTTTATTAAAAGGTGGTATCTGCAACGCTACGGGTGTTGCAAATATAATGGCCGGCGGTTATCACTTAACATCATCTGAATCGCCTGGTAGTTCCCACCTTCTCACATTAAAAAAAAACGTGAAGCTGTATGTACTTCCACTCCGCACCTGTCTTCTGCGAGGCCGTGGTGCTTATACGGAGGGCAGGCCCATTAGTGCAACAGAAAAGCCTTGCGTGGCCCTAGCACATTAGGCGGTAGGGTCACGCAATCGCCGTCATCACTTATGGCCACGTAAAAAAAACAGATGGAGTGGTGCTCACACCACGAGCAGAGCGCCGCGCTGGCGGTGGGGGGCGCTGGTGGGGCGGCGGCCGCGGCCGGCCGCTACCCTTGCTGCGGCCAGAGGGCGTACCGCTTCGAAACACTGCCGCGGCACACGGTGAGTACGGGCGCGCTAGCGAAACTTTAGCGGGCCCCTGTTTTGCGCCGTTTACGGGAATCCCCTACTATTGTCAAGTCGTTTAAATCGTCGCTCACCTTGTAATAATTGAAATATAATTGATTTTTTTAAATTGCGATAAATAGCGGTTTTTATGTGTCTCATCGACACCGTGTGCGAGTTGTTTTGCGACACCTTAATCCGGAACAATTCTTAATATTTAAACTGAATGGGAATCGATTCCAAGACCAGCCGATAAAATTGCCCCGACTAACTTGTGTTTAATATTACTTTGGAGCCTTCCGCTGAAAGGCTGCATTTCAATTCATTTCTCTAAAGTGCGAAGTCTTATTAATCGGTATCTTGTAATAAACTTTGCAAACATCAATCTAAGATCCGTTGAGACTAATTAAAGTCTAAGGGTGCGGGCGTTCGATGGGGACGTCAACGAACACGGGGGGCTTTGATGTCGACGCACTGTACAACGTAACTGGTTTAGCTGAAACGATTATGAAGATCTGGGGACCGGAGGCTAGGGATGTTGAAAGTGAAGAAATATACAGATATCTACAAAGATAATGTCGGCCTCGATATGCCCTCTTTATGTCCCAGAAACTGCTGTTTCCAAAAAAAAGTAAAGTATTAAATATTTGACACCTACGGACTGTGCTGGATTCGAATATGAACAAATATTGTTTTTGATACGATTTTCGATATTGAATATTTTGTATCGGATCCAAATAAATCGTCTGAAAATATCTATATATAAAATAAAAGATCGATATTTTTTCTCCATCTCTACCGTATGCGTGGTTTGGCGCAGGGTTGCCAGTTCAGGGAGCACGTTCCCGACGAGGGGACCAGCGTGGAGGCCGCCGTGGTGGAGCTCTATACAAGATTCCGCGACCTGATCGCCATGCGGCCGCCGCACCTCGTCTTCCCCGAGCGGCTGACGCGCCTCGTCGCCAGAGGTGAGCACCAGCGATAACTTGATCACTGAGGGTCGAGCGATGAGCAAAGCAATAACTGTGGTAGGGCCCCGCAACAGTCTCCATAGTTAAACGCACGCATGAGCACATGCGCGGCCCTACCCACAGCGGAGGGCCCAAACCCGTGGGTTCTGGCTAGCCCCCCTGTTCTGCGTCAGACGTAACTTTAATAGTGACGGGACTGAAAGCAAAAACATCAGTTAATACAAGATACAACAGTCTCAACTGTTACACGAATAAGTAGATCCGTCTGATAAGCACCACGCAGATGACCGGCGTGAAGTGAAACACTTCCGCTTTTCGTCTGGTGAGCGAGGTAGCCGGGGCGCACTGTGTTAAAAGGTGGCAACACGTCTGCGATCCTACGGGCGTTGCAAATGTCAATGGGCGGCTGTTACCGCTTAACATCATGTGAACCGCCAGCTCGCTTGCCACCTTCTCACATAAAAAGAGTAGTGGAGTTTGAGCAGAAGAACTCATAGCACGTACATGCAAACATTCATTTTTTTATGCAGATATATTTTTAAATGCGTATCCCGTTGTCAGATCCGGGCGATGACAACAGTGGGCGTTTGCAGTGCAAGGAGGTGTTCTGGTGGGAGGGAATCCAACTGGTTCCGCCTCGTCAGCCGTTTGGGTTACTTGGGAAGCTTTACACGAGCAATACAAAGTTCAACCGTGAGACTCCTGGGAACTTCATTAAAGATAATATTGACCGCGATGACATGCTAGTTTGTTTGTGTGACGACTATATTATATTTGTAAAATTAATTTGAAAAAAAGAAAGACTCATTGTTACACTGAATTTTAAAATATTTTGTAGCAATTCATCGCAATTAATAATATTTAGCCATGGCAAGACAGCTGTAAATACGCTCTCTACACTGGCAACACATGTAGCAGCCATGCCCATAACTCTTGCATTTTAACGATATTTCTGGCTTTAAAAAAAGATAGAATTTCAGAATTGCTTATTTCACTGAACTAAGAAAAAGTCCATGGAATTCAAAAGGAGACAAGGTTTTAGAGAAAAAGGTATCGTTACTTTATAGTTTTTAGTGAACTATATAACTCGTAAAGCATAAGTTTTATAATTAGTACACTACAGATGTAGATCTACTAAATTTTAAGTATACAGACACAATCCAATCAACTTTACAAAGAAAAATATACACAACATTTTGCCTTGTAAATTTCGAACCACCATACATGTGAAACACATCGTATTTCTATGGCGACAATTTGGCACCCATATAGCAAACGCGAGGCCTGGGTCCCCAGCACCGGGAAAGCCCGTCCAAACCGCCAGTGGGACATGCACCAGCGTAATATGCCCCACTCCGGAGCGCCGAGAACTGAAACCCTCGAAATCTGTCTCAGGTCCCGAAAATAATCAGAGCAACAAGGTATGTACGAAGAACTAATTTTGGATATAGCCGTCGACGGTTTTCATAAGGTCTCCGACGGTCGATCGACTTTAAACAACAGAGCATACATTACAGATTTAGGTTAGAGTTAGAGCTGACCGTTTGACCATTTACATATATTGGTACAGCTTAAACGATATATAGATTATATACCTAATCTTCTTCGCTTATTTAGCGAATATAGATTTCTTAGCTATATAGCTTGTTCTTAACGCAATATAGTTCAAAATATAGCAGTTGTTTGTGACCAAAAGGAACACCGTAGTCTAATCTGTGCCACAGCTAACAAGTAGAAGATCACGATAAATATAATCTTTTTGTTACCTTACATGCTAGTGTCCGTCGAAATATAACACATCAGGGTACAATAACGTACAGAATGAGTTAATTCGAAAATTATGAAAAAAACGTAGGTACATCTGTGTACTCATGTAAGCATTTAAGAAGTTATACTTAGCGCATCAAAAGAAAAAATACTAAAAATATCGTCCGTATGCCAGCATAAAATTAAAATTCCCTTCCATCATTTTTCCCAATTGCGCCAAAAGAAGTATAACTTCGGAAAATAATAATATCTCGTATACGATTAATTTTGAGAATACGATATTGTCGTACGAAGCAAGGCGCTTCGGGCTGCGGCGACGGCACAGCGGAGGTGGAGCGTGACAGCGAATGTGACAGCGAGCAGAGCTCTGACAGCTCTGACAGTTCTGACAGCGCGCGAAGCGACGAAGATGCATTGCCGCGACGCCGGCTCCAAAGGGTCGCACCGGTGACAGCGTCACGAAACAAGTGCGGATTTTCCCCTTTTATCTAATTTAATCTGTGGTTTGCAGTTGACGTAGAGGCCGTCCATTAATCACGTGAGGCTCGAAAGAGGGGGAGGGGGTTTGTACAAATCACGAATACAATCTAAACCGAAAAGCAGCGTGTAGTGTTGCCTTGGCTCACAGTTACATTTTTATCTTGCTCCTTCATTTCAGAATAAAATTAGATTAAAATTTATACCTGTATTTTAAGATAATATTCTATAAATTTTAAGATTCTTAGTGGGTTATTTTGAGTGGTGGGTGGGGTTACTCTTAAACCTCACCACTTACAACACCACAACCACAACCACCTCGGTGGCTGATGAGCCGTGTCTGTCGACAGGCGATCGCGCGTGTTGGGCCGCCAATGGATCGCTTCCCTCTCTGCGCGGAGCAACCAGGACGGGCAGAGGCGCTTTGAAGAGCGAGCGGCCGCCCAGATGAGGGCCGCCCTCGCGCGCCGCCACGCCCAGCACGTACGCGCCAAACCCACACCGGGTGAGTGTATTATTTTTGAAGTTATATGTTCTCCCATGGAGTAACTCTGTAACTTTAGACTTGTATACTTGGTTACTCCAACCGGGTCAGTGGTTTATTGTTGAAGTTATAGTTACTCCCGCCGGGTCAGTCTGTTACTTTTCAAGTTATAGGTACTCCTTTTGGTGCGTTTGGAAAAAAATATGAGAGAAAAATTTTCACGACGCGCGCGCACCCCGTCATCTAAAAAGCGAAATGTTGCCTTAGTTTCGCTTTGCAACCAAATTAACGGGCGGGTCAGTGTATTATTTTTCGAAGTTATACCGTTTTTGACGCGTTTGGAATGAATTATAAGAGTAAAATTTTCATGAAGCGCGCGCACGTCGACAAATGCAAAGCGACACGATGAAGTTGTTTGCGAAGCGACCACGTCACGACGTTACCACGGCAACCAATAACAATGCATTTAATGTCTTTTTCGCATCCAGAGTACTGGTACATGGGACTTTTTGTTGTTTCTTTTGTTACGACCTTTTCGTTGTACTGTACTTTGGAGCTAAACTTGACACTTATTTAACTTTTTTATACTTTCCTTATTATTTACTACTTTTTATTTTTATTCCTTTGAACATTATTTTTTAATTTAGGAGGCGTCTACGCGCGTCTGGAAGCAGAGTGGACTTTCCTATTAGCGACCACTACGTTTTTATTCACTTTGAAATTCTTTTTTTTGCGTCTACGCGCGTCTGTTGATACGCATCCCCAGAGTGGCGGGAAAAATTTGCCCCGCGGAACCGTAGCACAGTTACGGCTAGACTACGACCCGCTGCCGCGAAATACAAATGATTGCGTTTATAATAAACATAGCAGAAGAGCAAATTAACTTTTATTTTAACTATCCCTAATCAGTCATCAATTGTTTATATATTTTGCTTATTAGCCAATTTAGTCTTTTTTAAGATATTTCAACATGATACCGTAAGTCTTGATGACTAAACTCCAGCCAATTAAATATAAATGTTCGATAAGATCACGGCGAGGTACACTACATTAAAGTTGCTTTATTAAGAAATAATACCAGACCAGTATGTACAATGACCGGTAAACACCTTGAAAAACGCATTCGATATCAGTTAATCGATTTTTAACGATAGGGAGTACAGTCAGTAGACTGTACAAGCCAACGCGATTGGTTGCATTACAGTAGATATGAATGAATTTTTGCTCATTCATTCAATATGCCTCTTTTTCCTCAAATGTTGCCCGTACCAAGTTTATAATAATCGAGTTGGTTCATATTTTGACTATGCAAAAAACAGTAGTCGGTAGTAAGTCAGCTAATGTTTATTCTAAAGGTAAATAGGCTACTTATAAATCTTAATTATTAACTGTTTACCTATTGATTGATATGTGTGGAAAGAATTGGGTAGCAAGTCCCAACGGCCACTGCGACCTAGAACATTTATTGTAGTCTTCGCTTCAAAAACATGCCCTATCAGCAGCAGCCAAGAGCCTTCGAGTTGGGAGCAAGGGTCATTCATGTTCTCAATGCATACTTCGACATCATAAAAGGCTCTTTCCATTAGGGTAGGTTTTACCAAATGTTTGTGGATGTCACTAATTTTATGATTATAAACTACTTTGTGGTTCGCGATGTAGTATGTTTATGTAAAAATATGGACTATCCATCTTTATTTCTTATACACAAGGTGATCTCGAATCTCTACAGCGACGTATTGTGTGCAAGGATATAACGGCCAAAAGCTTTGTGATTGCTAAGATGTCCAAAATATTCATGACCGCGCCAAACAAACGTTTCTTAAAAAAACTAACGCTTTCATTTGTACAAGTATTTGCCTCATACAACATTTTATACCATAGTAATGATGTATTGACCCGAATGGCGAAGTGGGTAGTGTGCGCAATATTGGAGATCGAACCCATACTTAGAGGGTGTGGTTCCCAATACTGGAAAAATAGTGTTTTTCTAGTGTCTGGGCATCTATACAGCGTGTCGATACCATCGCGACAATAAATGAACACACGTCTAACGTTAGTTGCCAATAATCATAAAAAATATTAACGTTAAAAAAAATCCATAATTAAAAAAAAATATTTTTCAAACAAACCAATTAAGTAAAAAAGAAACAAAATTTGTAACACCTATACAACTACGACTGATTCATACATTCAGAGACTATTTCATTCGTTGTCACAGCGTCGCATTACAAGCCTCTCCTTCTAACAGTATGTTTAGTCCCTTTTAAATTCATTCAACCCATTCATATGCTTTGTGACCTTTACAAATGAACTTTACGTTAGTTTTATACTATAAATTTAATAATTCTGTAAATATTGATGTTTAAAGAAAGTAAATGTTTACTACAATTTTAAAAAGTTATCATCGTAAAGACACGCTGTATATGTATTTCCAAAAAAACAGTATGTTTATCAGTTAGTTACCCATAGTACAAGCGTTACTTAGTTTGGGACTATAGAATGTTCTGTAAAAATGTGTCCAAAAATATTTATTTATTTATTGTTTGCTGTATAAAAATGCGCAATCGCGCAAATGAGAGGCGAACGGGGGTATTTTCTCATGGTTTTATTGTGGCTTATAACTAGAAGCGCATCCTGTGCGGGAACTGGCTGGAGCGCAGGCCGAACGCCGACTTGAGGTAGCCGCGCAGCAGCTTCTTGTCTTCGCGCTTTCCGATCGCCTTGATCACCGCCTCGTCCACAGACTTCTGGTCAGTCTTGCGCTGCTCCGACGGCACGTATTTCTAGGGGGCGGTTCGGATCAAATCGTTAGTATCATTAGGGGGGGGGAGAATCAAATCATAGTTTAACATAGGTTTCTGTATAGACTGTTCGTTATAAGTCGTAAATTTTTCGCCATTATTAGTAACTAGCTAGTGCCCGCGACTTCGTCTGCGCATCATTAGTACTCTCTATATTAGATATTCATCAAAATCGGTTCTGCGTGTAAAGTTCGGGAAAAAAGTAACAAACATCCATACAAAAACATACATACAAAAATTCGCGTTTTTTTAAATTAGTAACATAAGTAGTAAGAATGTATAATTATTTCTCAAAGGTGTTTTTGTAGGTGTGGCCATAACTTCCATAATTTATCAAATTTAACGATTTGAACACCTTTTGAAGGCATATGTTTGTCACATTTAACAAATATAAAAGATAAGGTTTGTCATTAAAAGAAATATATAATAATGCCATCTATTGACAATTTGTTTAAGTGAAAGATAAAGGAGATTAAAACAGTATTCGTCTATGAAAATTTCGCACAGGTCAGTAATAAAACACATTTATTATAACACTTTGTAGTGTTTATATCGTGTTTATGGGCGGTGTGTAGCAAGCAGCAATTAATATTAATTGAAAATTTCCTCCTTGAGAAACAAACACCCAGATCCAGAATAATTATGAGTGGTTCACACACACTTGTTCCATGTGGAAATTTAACTCACAACCCTGAAGCTGAAGCAAATAGCTTATTAGCAGCACCACTGGGTCAACATAAGAAAAAAAGTTCAACAATTAAATTATAAATCAAATTAAAATAAGATAATTTAAGAGGACTAGATATGGAGATGATTTGTATACAGCGAGCACTAACACGTAAACGTGAACACTATTTGCCGATAATCATAAAAAATATGAATGTTAAAAAAATCCATAATTAAAATAAAATATTTTGCAAACAAACTTATACAACTACAACTAACTGATTCATACATTCAGAGACTTTTCATTCATTACCACAGAGTCGCATTACAAGTCTCTCATTGTAACAGTATGTTTTATCTCTTTTAAATTCATTCAACCTATTCCTTTGACCTTTACAAATGAACTTACACGTTACAGTTTTATATTGTAAGGGTGTTCTAAAATTGTTTGTTTTGGAAAATTGTAAAACTCGGTAAATATTGATGTTTAAAGAATGTAAATGTTAAATACAATTTTAAAAAACTATCCTCTATATGCGTGTTCATTTATTGTCGCGGTTGTAAAGACACGCCGTATATACCTTGTCTTTTAGTTCATTATACTATGAGCTCAATTATTGCTTATGGGGTGAAGACTAAAACAATTTAAGGTTTGCCATATATTACTTGAAAGTAACAGCCTATACATTTTTTTTGTTATTACATTACACATTAGAATTATGCTATGATAAGTAGTTCCATTTTGAAACCTAAGAAAATCATTTTTCATTTGTTCACCAACTCAGAATAGGTTGGCTCAATATATGTGTTAAACATAACAAGTACAGTATATGATAAATACTTTAATTTTTTTTATATGAAATCAAACTTCTAGTAAATAAAACATACAATAAAACTATTGTGCAATGCAGTGCAATGTCACATAATTTAAATTTTTACTACATTATAACTGGAAAAATATGAAGGAATGTGATTTAACATTACCTCTTTCTTACTGGCAAAGATGTCTTCACCCTGCTTGCGTTTAACGCTGCGTTTGGTGCTCTTCTTGTTCTTCTTGAAGTAATCATCATCCAGGTGTTCAGGCAGTTTGAAGTCTCCAAGATCCACCTTGGTTGAAGTGCCGATGACGTAGCGTTGCGGAATGCGACGGAGCGGGCACGAGTTGAACTGCAATCAATTCACACATATTACAACTAAGATGGATAAATAACAGAAACTGACTATGTATAATATTTTGTGGAAGAAAATATAGTATACAAGATAAAGGTGTATGGGTGTCTGGAAGAAATCGCTTTAAGTAATAAGACTGCCTATTGTACTTACTTTTTATATTCATTAGTAATTTGCTTTTTATATTTTTATTTTGGTGTACAATAAAGTACAAATAAATAAATAAAATAATTAAATTAATTAATTGTTTGAAAATTAGTTAATAATCAGCAATTTCCAGCAATTTTTTAATGTTTTGTTCACCTAAACTTCGAAACCCACCACAACAAAAACTGCCTCTACAGAGAGGGCATTAGGGCGAAACAATGGTCTGAAGTAAATAAATGGACCCTTACAAAGTTGAAATTTACTTTAAATATTACACAAATGCATATTTTCCTACTGTATTCATCAATGGTGAGCACAGTTAAACAATTAGTGCATAAAATTGTGATTAACAAAACTTAAATATACAGAATTAGGCTAGCCCTTTTATGAAGAGACTTCTAATCAGTCACTCAGTATGAATTAAAAATTGACCAAGAGAAGTCACATATGTGCACGAAGGGTTCTGTACCATTATCTATAAAAACGGCGAAAAAAAAATCATGTCTGTTGTTGTAACGGCAACAGAAATACATCATCGATGAAATTTTAACTGCCTTACATAAGACACTGCCTCATGACAGATGGACAGACAGACAGACAACAGTCTTCTTAACAGGGTACCATTTTAACCTTTGAGTACTGGACCCTAAAAACACTAAATACTCACAGCAAAAGGTCCAGTCACAAGCAGCAAACCACTTGGCAGTACACCAACAAGTACAACATGTTTGCCTGCATGTCTGCCAGCAAGGAGTATGCACACTGTGCCAACAGTCAAGTTAGGCCTAGTCCGGCGCACATGTTTGCTGAATGTTTTGTGGTGTGGGCGCGTTGGGATCCTGCAAATATATAGTTGTAAGGAAGTTGACATTGTTCACTTAAAAAAGCATATTGTATTATTTTAATGGCACAATACCTATTTTACCTATTTTTATTAATAGTAATAATCTGAATTAGATTGACACAATGCCAAAATTAATTAATGGTAATTTTAAACATCAAAAAGTTACTGAACCATTAATAGATAGTGATTAAAAATAACCAAACTTGTTACCAATGATTGCATTTACACTATATGAAACTACAAATTTCTATTTCTAAATATGCAATAACATTTATAGAAATTTGTAGTTTCAGAACAGCTGGTAAACCAGTGGTGTTTATTGATGCTCAAATATTAGTAAAGCAGAGTAAAGTAAATTTTATAGTGTTGACTTCAACTTTGATTTCTTAATGTCCATATTTTTGTCAATACTCACTTGTCCTGGGTGGGGTAGAAAGATTTCCTGCGACGCAACAACACTGTGCGTGTCCCACCGTTCTTTTCGCCGCCGATTTGTTTAACAACCACAGTGGGCTTTTTGGGCTTTTCCGCCTTAGGGTTTTTCTTGCCAATGAACTTGTACTTGGCCTGGAAGAAAGTAATAAATACTTTAGCAAATGATCAATACAAACGGCACGAATAGAGTAAATACAACTAGCTAACTTTATATATTTAAGTTTTTAATGACAATAATTGATTGGACTAAATTAGAAACAATTTCATTCAGCAACCATCTACAGAATTACCAAAAATGTTACAAACGCAAACACTAACTTTCTTGTGGAACATTTTAGCTTTGGAGAAACGGACCACTCCGTTGCCCAAATCGTAATTCCTCGGTATGCCACGTTTGGCCTTGGCGACTCCGCCTGTAGGCGCCGCTGGCGCCTTGGCCACCTCCTTGGGCTTCGGTGGAGCCATTAGAATCTGGACACACGAGAAAACAACCTCAAAATATCACTGACATCCAACTATACTTTGAAAGGTAAAGATGGAATTTAAAACAACTATTGAAAGCTGTCTACTCGCTAGCATGAAGCTCGATCAATATAAGATTGATAATAATGATATTTTTAATTTCACTTAATTATGATCATATAGATGAATGTCAAACTTTTCAAACAATAATATGAAATGTTACACGAGAATTTGACAAAAAATATGGCATATAATCACTTGTTTGTGAAATAAGTATTGTCTTTCATATGTGTGTTATAGGATTTTTCCTTAATTCAGGCCTATTTCTTCGGATTTATTTATATCAAAAACAACACCAACTCACATTAGAACCGGGATCAAGAAAAAGAAATTGACATAGACGAAAATGTCTATGGTCGACTAGGGATGTTCATCTTAATTAACGAAGCGTAATATAAATTACCTATTACATGTTGTGATATCACTTTGCTATTATCGATCGCCTTTAATATATATTTTTTTCTATGTATTTTTGAAATATAAAGAAAGAAGAGGAAGTCACTAAATTATTTTATTTCATTGTAAGTATAGATAATATGATATTTCACGTATCAATTCAAATAAAACGATTGAATTATCAAATATCTATTGTAATTTTAAAATATATTTTCGAGACCCTCTAGCATCTGAGAACAATCTTATTTGTTTTAATTACTGTTTTATTACAAATAATTAGGTAGTGTACAAATTCATTTATCCCTGAAGCTGGAAAATGTGGCAAGTAAGAAATCATTCTGTACAGCTTAAACACCTAGAGAAAACGAAAAAAAAATTGTTTATAGCTCTTGATATGGTTTTTCCAAAGAGTACTTTTATCTGAAATTATTGTAGAAAATTATTGTTTATATATTTTTTTTAATTATAGTGGCTCCATCAAGGATAGCTTGATGATTCTGCCAATGTCAAGGTTGAATAAAACAAACTGTTATTGATAAAATTTCCTAAAGTGATGACTTTTGTACGGTATTTAGAACATCATACTTTATTGGTTGAGATACCTGAATAGAAACTAAACATTTTGTTAGAAGATGAATAAAAATAAGTAAGGATGACTAAAATGATAAAGGCGACACAAACAATTACAAGGAGGAGAAATGGAAATGTTAAAGCTTTATATTATTAATACAAAGGAATTTATGTAGTACTTTGACAACGTGGAAGTCATTAAGAGTTAGAAGGAATGGGATATTAACAGGTCTGGGGAACTTTGAGGGAAGGATATCATATAGGGGGACGTTAAGATTTGGACATGAAAAAAACATGTGTTCCAGAGTTCCCTCTGCTAAGCCGCAGTGACAAAGAGAGTGGTCCAGTATGCGCAGTTTAGCTAGAAACACTGGGGAGCAAACATGTCCTAGTCGCAAGCGAATTATTACAGAAGTAATTAATTTACTAAAAGATTTGTATTTGAAAAACCAAGGCTTTGATGGGATATTAGGCTGGATACTGGCATAGAATCTCCCTTTCACAGTTTTGGTTTGTTGCCACAAACTATCTCAAGTTTCCATTAATTGAGGTTTGGCCATAGAGCACAGATCGCGAGCTGGGATGTTAGAGTGACATGGATCGCCTATCGAAATAGCTTGTTTAGCATAATAATCAGCCGCTTCATTACCCAGAATACCCACGTGGCCTGGAATCCAGGCTAGGACAGTTTCAATACCCTCTCTTTGTAACTTAAATAATGTTTCTTTTATATTAAGAATAATTGAGGAGTGGCGTTTACAGTGGAAGGGAAGTTTCTTTAAATCCTCCAGACAACTACGGGAGTCACTGAGGATCAAAGTCTTACGAAAATGAGATTGGTTAGAATCTATATACTTAACTGCTTCTAAAATGGCTAATGATTCACCTGTAAAAATTGAACATTCTGAAGGACATTTAAAACTCAAAACTACACTGTACTTTGGTATATAAACGGACGCACCAATAAGGGACGAGTCTGTTTTTGATGCATCTGTGAATATCAGAACCCAGTTCGCCCATTCATTCCTCACAAGCATGTTAAATTTCCGGTTAGCATCTAAGGTATTCTTGTCGATGCCAAAGTTTAAAATAATATTAGGATTAAAAATTAAAGCATCATAACTGATTGTAAAAAGAGGGTGGTTTTCTAAGCAGAGAACAGAGAAATGAGAGGAATTATATCTATTATAACTATTTAGTAATAGAGGATGGGATTTGTTTGACCAATAAGGCGACGAGTTAATGGAGCGAGAAAGGAGACTTAAGGGTTTTAAAATGGGATGAGAGGGGAACTGAACAGCTTTGGAAAAAAATCTATCAGCAAGAAACTGTCTACGGATGTTTAAAGGAGGTTCCAGGCACTCCACATGGAGGGCATTAATAGCAGAAGATTTCATAGCCCCAGTAATTATACGCAGGCACTTAGACTGGATTTTGTCAAGTTTACCAAGAGCCAGCTTACTGCAAGGCTCCAAAATGAAACAGCCGTAATCAAAGTGGCTACGAATAATTGCATTGTAGAGAATTTTTTGGACGAAAGGATGAGAGCCCCAACGAACTCCCGATAAGGCTCTAAGGACATTGGTGTTTTTCTCACACTTAGAATATATATACTGTAAATGAGGAATACCAGTCATGTTGGAATCAAGGATGACTCACAAAAACTTTGCCTGGCTCTTAAATAAAATTGGTTCACCATCTACAGATAAATGCAAGAGGGGAATATTCCGTTTTCGACTAAAAATAACTGCATAGGATTTAGGAATAGACAGACTTAGACCGTGATCTTGGAGCCAATCATTTAGATAACCTAAGGCGGTAGTTACTTGAGAACATCCATTAAACAGGGAGGAGCAAGTTGTATACAAGGCTATATCATCTGCATATTGAAGGATTTTGCAGAAGCTATAGACAGATAAGTCAAGATCAGCAGTATAGAGATTGTATAGGAGGGGACTTAGGACTGAGCCTTGAGGGAGACCCTTCCAAACGAGACGGGAAGAAAGAGAGCCCTGATAGCGGGCACGGATAGAACGACATGTAAGTAAATTAAAGATAATGTTAATCAGCCTCATAGGGATATTCAGTGTGAGCAATTTCTGCCTAAGTATTGGAAGCTGAACATTATCATAAGCAGACGAGATGTCAAGGAAGACCCCAATAACATGTTTATTACAAGAAAATACAAGTCTTATATCAGTTGATAGGATGCCAAGACTATCCATAGTGCTCATACCACGTCTGAAACCAAATTGATTGTTTGGGAGCAGACCTCTATTCTCAAGGATCCACTCTAATCTATTTTTGATAAGATGCTCTACGATTTTGGCCATAACAGATGATAAGGCAATAGGCCGATATGATGATGAGTCGCTAGGGTCTTTATTGGGTTTTAAAACTGGAATAATAATTTGGGTCTTCCATGACTCTGGAATGCATCCAGAAGAAAAAATTTCGTTTATAATATTAAGAAAAAATAATTTTGACGAACTTGAAGATTTTATTATAAAAGGATAAGATATACCGTCAACGCCTGGTGAAGAATCTCGTAGATTATCAAGAGCACAGCAGAACTCAGAATAGGAAAAAGGACGATCCATTCTGTCGAGTGGAGGAGAAAGAGAAGGAGGGAGGGGAAAACAATCACGAGAAGGAACAAATGGAGGAGCTAACTTTTCGATGAAATCGTTTAGCCAAACGGAAGAATCACTGGGACAGATGTTTTGGTCAGCGAAAACACCACGAAAATGGGAAATTTTGCGCCATACTACAGTCATAGAGGAACGGGGGGATAACGATTCGCAAAATCTAAGCCACCCCTGAGACTTCTTTCTTGCCAAAATTCTTTTTGTTTTGGCACAGACCTTGCGAAAGAGAAGAAAGTTCTCCATACTCAAATCTTCCGCATAAGTCTTCTCAGCTTGATTTCTAAGTCGAACGGAAGTAGAACACTCCGAATCCCACCATGGGGGAGAGGGGATACGACCACAGGAAGCGTTTTTGAGGGGTATGGAATTTTCTGCTGCTGTAATGATACAAGCGACATATTCATTGTATAAAGATAGGAAGTTATCAGGATTGGCAGGAGGAAGGAGACTAATTTTGGAGTCTAAAGTTTCAGAATACTTATCCCAGTCAGCGTCTGAGAGTCTAAAACGTTGCAAAGGTGGAATCTTAGGAGTGGGAGGTGAAAATTGTAGGAGTCTTATTAATATAGGAAAATGATCACTGCCATATGAGTTATGAAGTACTGTCCAAGAGATAGTATTTATTAGAGAGGGGGAAGAAAGAGTTAAATCAGGAGCATTCAGATTTTGACCAGGAGGAGTCCTTCGAGTTGCAGACCCATCATTAAGAATGCACAAATTGTTATCATCTAACAGGTCAAGGAAGAAAGAAGAGGAAGAATCTGAATGGTTTGAGCCCCACATAGGGTGGTGACAGTTAAAGTCGCCAGAAACTATGAGGGGACCAGGAATAGAAGAGAGAATGAAGTTTAGTTCAGAAATCACGGAACTATTGGGATGAGGGATGTAGCATGATATGAATGTAATATTTTTAGCTTTAATCGCCACTATGTGCAAATTACAACTATGGGGAGGGATAAGGATCTGGGAGAAGCAGATGGATCTTGACACAAGAAAAGGGCACAACCTGCTTTTCCGTCATCCCTATCATCACGAAAACATGAATACCCCGACAGCCTGAAAACAGACCCCGGTTTTAACCATGTCTCCGAGATGGCGAGGACCACGGGTTTGAAGCGATTTATTAAATAAATGAGTTCTGATTTCTTATGGCGAGCACTTCTACAATTCCATTGAATTATAGTCGCCATTTTTAGAAATTAAAGTATCGAGAAATTGTTGTAGAATAGTAACGACATTGTTCGGTAGGGAGTCTGAGAACTTTGAAATCATATTTATAAGGGATAGAGCACAACCATTAGGTTGAGTAGATGGGGGAGAACTAATTATATTTCTATGAGATAGAACGTCATAGGATTTACCGAGAGGAGCTTTGGGAGGAGGAGATTTGAAAATAGTTTTGGAATAAGATGCCTGAATATTAGATGGAATAGTTGAAGAAGAAGAGGAAAGGGGGATAGGATGGGATTGTGAAATATTGGTAGGATGTAAAATGGAAGGAGGGGTGGAATTGACCACATCCGTGTAGGATCTTTTTGCAAGGGGAAATCGAAGAGCTGCTTCAGAATAGCTAATATTTTCCTGAGACATGATCATTTTAATAGACTTTTGCCTTGCATGTTCTGGGCATTTATCATCAGTAGCTCTATGATTACCACTACACAAAACACAAACTTCATTATTAGGATCATGACAGCTATCCCCATTATGTCCTAGTCCACCAACGGTAACACCTGGGCTGAGATCGGCACTGTGATAAAATGTGGCCAAATCTACAACAATTCCTACATTGAATTGTTGGCAGTTGATAAGTGGAGACTGGAAGAGCAGAGTGGAAACAAAATACTCTCTCTGGAAGAGATTGGCCCGAAAAGGTGAGAACTACGGTAGTGGAAGGGACCCATGTGACTTTATCATCTACTCGGATTTTAGTATTGAGACGACGAGCTCTAATAACTTCCCCACAATTGGAGGGAGTTTTAATATTCTCAATTAACTCTTCTAATGTCCAATCAGTGGGAATGCTTCTAACAACACCCATGCGGGTAATGTTAAATCTAGGGATAACTGCTTTAAAATTATTTGTAGACAGACAGTCATGAGACATGAAGTTATTAGCTGACAAATTAGTTTTAAATTCAACTGATATTCTATTTCTTCCCAATGCTTTTATACCACCCTGCGCAATACCAGAAACTTTTGATTTATGTAAAAGTTGAGCAAATTTCAATACTCTAATAGACTGACCAGAGGATAAATCGGGAACAGATCTAGTTACATGAACGATAAAGGGACCCTTGTCCTGGTCAGTGTATAATAGTATTGAGTCAAGTTCATAACCCTTTTTAGAAAAAGTACATTGGTACGACGTAGAGGGCGGAACAGTTTTTTTCCTTTCCAGCATCTCAACGTTTTCAGCCGGGCGCTTGCGATGTACATTAGTTATTGAAGAGTTGGAATTTGAAACTGTAGATGTGGACGAGGACGAGCTAACCAACGAAATATCAGAAGGAAGACCGCCACCTCCATCCGGAGGCTTGTCTTCATCCATGTTCTTCATAAAGAAGAAAAGGCGGGTCTAAATGCTAATAGACTTGCCAATTCACACAAAAACCTCCACCAAACTCACACAAAACAGATAAATTCAGGATTTCAACCCAAAAAAGTAGGATTCAGATATAAGATCACTCAATTACGTGTTTACATCAACACTTTGACAAGCAGAATCTATTGTTTATATATTCTGGGTTCAAATGCATGTCAGATTGATTAATTAAAAAAAAAAAGCTAAAACGCCAGTTTGAAAAATGGCTTCCCTGAGAAGCCCGTCTTCACCGTCGGACGGATACAAAAGGTTCAGTGATGATTTCGCAAACACCAGCATCAACAATTACGGCTCAAACGTCACAAGTAAACAAGAAGCTATGATTTTTATATGCACTGTAGTCGCAAGATATGTGTACGCTTTTCTTGTTTTTAACAATACATTTTGTAATTCATTTAACAATTTGTTTAATTTCTCACCTGTAAGTATTGCCGTAGTACATCATAAATATTCAATTATAAAACCAATAAGTAGCGTCATCACCACCATCGAAATATTCAATGACGCAGTGTATGAGTCATGAGTGACAAACAGTAATTTCAAAAAATATATTAAACCATACGTAGACGATCTCGACCTAATTCTTTATACCCCGTTATAATTATCAATCAACGATCTCCGCATGATCCTAGTTTCTCGCTTTGCATGCT